GGTGGGCAGGAAGAGCTGAGAGATGGGGACCCTGGAATCAGTGGCAGAAGTTATAGGGCTGCAGACAGGAGGGAAGGAAAGGTATTGTAAGCCAGTAGTGTGGCATAGCAGTTAAAAGCACAGCTTTTGGAGCTAGACTCATCTGGGTTCAAATCCTGCTCTGTTGTTTCCTCATTGTGTAACCCTAAGGGAGTGACTTAACTTCTCTGGACTTCAGTTTTCTTATCACTAAAGTGGGGCTAATAATACTACCCACCTCATGAGGAAGATTAAATGACATGTGAAGCAAGTAGCAAAGTGCCAGATCCATAGTAAGTTGTCCCGCAGAGTATTTCTACCCACCCTTGTTCTCTGCCTTTCCAACCAGGTGCTACAGCGGCTGGAGCAGAGGCGACAGCAGGCTCCAGAGCGGGAGGCCCCAGGTATAGAACAGCGGCTACAGGAAGTGAAGGAAAGCATCCGGAGGGCACAGGTGAGGCATAGCCTCTATTCTATCTGCTTGGTGGGGAGCAGGGAGGCTGGAGGTAGAAGGTGGACATGTTTGGGGTGGCTCCACTCACCGCCCAAAGGCAGGCCCATCTGTAGCCTTGATTGATTTCTCTTCCCCATGCCAGGTGAGCCAGGTGAAGGGGGCTGCCCGGCTGGCTCTGCTACAAGGAGCTGGCCTAGATGTACAGCGCTGGCTGAAGCCAGCCATGACTCAGGCTCAGGATGAGGTGGAGCAGGAGCGACGTCTTAGTGAGGCCCGCCTCTCCCAGAGGGACCTCTCTCCCACGGTGAGTGCCCTTTGCTCCCTACCCCTCTACACACAGGAGGGTAAAGGGTAGAACTCCCAGAGGAGAGCAGACCTTATAAAATGGGAATCACAACATTCCTATGTCAAAGATGTTGTCTTGAGGCTGGAATGAAATAACTTAAGTGTAATTTTTTGCATATTTTGCAGCTGAACGAACTTTTGTCATGAATATAGAATGGCCCTTATGAACTAAGGTTCTAAGTATGGATTCTAAGTGGTTCAAGTACCAGCCACTGCATTTACTGGCTGTGTGATCTTGGAAAATGACTTTCTGAGCCTCAGTTTCCTCAGTAAAACGAGGTGGGGGCACTGGATGGCTCAATCATTAAGCATCTGACTCTCAGTTTTAGCTTAGATCCATGATCTCAGGTTATGAGATCGAGCCTCAACATCAGTCTCCATGGTCAGTGTGGACTCTGCTTGTCTCTCTCCTCCTTCTCCCTCTGTTCTGCCCCCCCCCCGCCCCCTGTGCATGCCCGTATATGCCTGTGTGTGCTCTCGCTCTCAAATAAGTAAAGTCTTTTAAAAAAAAATTTGAAAGTAGGTAAAACAAGGTGATAGGTGATATAGTTATGCAAAATATCACTGGGTTATTGTGAAGTTTAAATAAAGTGATATACATAAGATATTTGATGTTGCACCTGGCACATAGTAAGCACTCAGTTCTGTAATTGTTGGTATTACTCTGCTCTGTGATTTTGCTTGTGGTGCATGGTGGACAGATGGGTGGTATCACCTTAGGGAGTGATCTACCAGTGTTCTTTAAGGGTAAAATGGAGGAGTGGGAGATAAAATTGGTAAGTAACACTGAGCTCCACACTGTTATCTGTTCTTTGCTTCCTCCAGGCTGAGGATGCTGAGCTCTCTGACTTTGAGGAATGTGAGGAGACAGGGGAGCTCTTTGAGGAGCCTGCCCCTACAGCCTTGGCCACTAGGCCCCTCCCCTGCCCTGCACATGTGGTGTTCAGCTATCAGGTACCTGGTGGGCATGGGGGTGGGGACCTCAGTGGGGAGGAGACAGCCATGTCCTGAATCCTTCCTTGTGGGGGCCAGGCAGGGCATGAGGATGAGCTGACTATCACAGAGGGCGAGTGGCTGGAGGTCATAGAAGAAGGAGATGCTGATGAATGGGTCAAGGTGGGTATGGACCTTTGATTCTGATCTTGGTGGTGGGTGGGGGAGGGTCAGGGGGAAGGACTTCTCTGTGGCTATCAAGGACCCAGCCAGCCAAAGCTAGAACCGTGGAGGAGGGCCAAGGCCATGGACTGCTGAGGCAAATCTGTTATCTGTTCACATTGCTGGGTGAATAGGCTCGAAACCAGCACGGCGAGGTAGGCTTTGTCCCTGAGCGGTATCTCAACTTCCCGGACCTCTCCTTCCCTGAGAGTGGCCACGACAGCGATAATCCCTCAGGGGCAGAGCCCACAGGTGAGAATGGGAAATTCTGGGTCAGGGGACCTTGAGTGGTTGTGGCCCTGAGATGTCATGGTCCTGGGGCACTACTGCCCATCAACACCCCTCACCATCTCTTTTGGGCTTTCTGCAGCTTTCCTGGCCCGTGCCCTATACAGCTACACAGGACAGACTGCAGAGGAGCTGAGCTTCCCTGAGGGGGCGCTTATCCGCCTGCTGCCCCGGGCCCAGGATGGAGTGGATGATGGCTTCTGGAGGGGAGAATTTGGGGGCTATGTTGGGGTTTTCCCCTCCCTGCTAGTGGAGGAATTGCTTGGCTCCCCAGGACCCCCTGAACTCTCAGACCCAGAACAGGTGAGGCTTCCTTCTCCCTGGGTCCCCAGGCACCTCTGGATTGAGCCTCTCACTCCAGGGAGGCCCCATATTCCTCTCAGTGCCCCCTTCCTTCTCCCAGTTTACCTCCTTTATTGTCTTGGACCTCCCAATCTCCTTTGGCTGGGCAGCGAAGAGGAAACCCAGGCAGTCTTCATGAGTTTGGTGATCCTACTTTAGTGCTAAATAAATCTGAGTTCAGATTCCCATTGCATTACCTTTAGCAGTGATATAACCTCTAAGCTTATTTCTTCATGTGTAAACCAGGGGTAGTAATACCTACTTTAGCAGCCCAATTATCATGATTTAGCTATGAGGGTAAAGTCCTTAGCACAGTAACCCCCAGGAGGTCCTAATGGTACCTACTGATATAGCAGGAAGAGCCTAGAAGTGGGAGTCAGGAGAGCTAGGTTCTTTTCTTTTTTTTTTTTTTTTGGAAAGCTAGGTTCTAGTTGGGACTCTACCACTAACAGGCTCCATGCCTTTGGATAGATAGCTTAGCCTGAGTCTCATCGAGGTAAGAAATCATAAAAATCCCTACCTCATTGGACAGTGGTGAGGAATGAATGAATTAGGGTATGTGAAGTGCTAGCAATGTCTGGGACATAGCGTCAGTACATATTGGCTATTGAAATGTGTATCAGCTAAAGCCCCCACCTGGATATAAGCATCTGGCTGCCCTCCCAGTCAAGGAGTGATAGGACAGGAATTGAAGAGGAGAGGAGAGGAAAAGCTGGTGAAACCTTCCCATATACCAGGAATAACTCCCATGTGCCCCTTGTTCCCAGATGCTGCCATCCCCTTCTCCTCCTAGCTTCTCACCTCCTGTGCCCACCTCTGCCTTGGATGGAGCCCTTGCATCTGTGCTGCCTGTGGGTGAGTAAAGGGTACTGGGAGCCCTGGGAGGGGAAGAGATGGGGAGAAGAAAGGTTACACTCGGCTCCTCTTCCTGCCCTCAGGAACCTCCTCCATCAGGCTCACAGAAGCATGATGGTGAAAAGAGCTTGGGCTTTGGAGGGGAGGCAAGTGCATTGTTGAGACTTTGCCTGTGACTTCCCAATGTGTGGGTTGGGGTGGGATGTTTAACCTGCCTGGGCCTTTACAGAGTAAGGTGAAAGGTCCCTACCTCACCTGAGTTGTTATGTGTTAGAAAGATGGGCCTAGCACTGTGCCTGGCACATAGTAGTACCATGCCTGTAGTAGCCATTTTCTCATGATGATTAGTTTACAAATTAGCCAGCATTTCCCATTATTTTCCCACTATGTATCTTCTGCCTTTAATGTTCTTGAATACTGCAAACACCTTGGTTTGTGTCATTTTCCTTCTTGGAATGTCCACTTTTTCTAAAACCTTCTGGTACTTTCACTTTCTTCATGGAGCCTCCCTGATTCCCGAGGTCCCTCTGAACATCTTCTGCACCCCCTTCTCCAGTACCTATAGTTCACTTTGAATGATTTAGCACTCAGTCGTTCACTGTTTGTTGGCTTTTCACTATTGGGTTCCTGACAGCCATAGGAGCCATAGGGAATGGGGGTGCTGTGAATCTCATCTCCCCCTCTCAGCAGGTGCCAAATAAGTGTAGAGGATGGATGGATTGATGGATTTTATGGCTCTGAGATTAGTGACTATTTGTTAATTCATCAAATATTTACAGAGTTCCACTCTCCTAAGTGCTGGAGATGCAGCAATGAACAAAATAAAGCCTGAAGAATGACTTGTGGTTCTTGTTTGCAGACCGAGACCTGGGCTGCCCTGCACCCCTGGACATGATGGCACCTCGACTCAGGCCGGTAAGGGTCCCCCCCTTGGAGGAGACTATGTCATTCTACTTGTCCTGCTTTGTCTGCAGGGCTGAGAGAATGGACAGGGGTAGCTCCAAGGAGGGTTCTGGAGCACTGACTGTGTTCCCTACAGATGCGCCCACCGCCTCCACCACCAGTTAAAGCTCCGGATCCTGGCCACCCAGATTCTCTCACCTGAAGCCAGGGGGACTGCCATCCCCCAGTGATGCTGCTGTCCCATGATGTCAGAGACCACCCTCTCAATGATCTGGAGTGACAAAGCCAAAAGCTGGAGTCTCCCCCATTTCCACTCTCACCTCCCTGGGTAGAAACTTTCCCTCTCCCCATTTCTGGGGCTGGAACTCACTCCTTTCCCCCCCCATCATACTTCTCTCTCTAGGGTTGGAACAACCCCTCTTTCTTCTGCCACTAGTCCACCTTTAAGGTGGTGAAATATCCTGAAATATCTGAGGCTGGAACCCGTCTTCCAAAGTCTTGAGTGGCTCCAGCCCATCCGTGTCTCCACCCTGGCTCTTTGACCCACCCCACTGTGTCTGTGATCCATGCCTCTTAGGTTGGGAGCTGGGATAGGGGCGGGCCTGTCAAAAGGAGCTGGAGCCAGTATGCAAAACAGCTGTAATGGTCTGAGTGGATTTATTGACAGTGAATAAAGGGCACTAAGCCCAAGCCTGGGCCTGGGCCTCTTGTGCCAAGAGGGCAGGGGGCCTAAGGTGCTATTGCTTTAAGGGCCCACCGAGGGCAGGGTCCTGTTCCCAGCTTCCACGCTCTAGCAAATGGAGTGAGGTGATGGGGAAGGGGTCAGGCGGCCTGTTGGCAGGCAGGTGAATTGAAAGAGACTGAGGGGTGGGAATGGGGAAGACTTCTCCCGAGGTCCCCCAGCCTGAGACCATGCAACTCCAGGTGGAAGTAGAGCTGGTTCCTCAGCTGGGGAGCAGTGCAGTCCAGTGGAGAGGAGGGCCTTCCTGCCCACCCACCCCCTGGCCCTGCCAGCTGGTAGTCCATCAGCACAATGAAGAAGGAAGCTTGGAGGAGAGGAAGGGTAACAGTTTTGCTTTCTATTCAGGATGTGTCTCAGCTTTTCCCCAAGGGCTGCAGGACCTTCCCTATCTCCTGGAACACATGCCCACTCCCCACCACTAGACCAAAGAATTTGTAGCAAAGGCCAACCCTCAGAGTACAGCAAGCTAATGGGCTTAGGGAGTCTAAGTAGGGGATGGGAGGTTGACATTATCCAACTTGGGGCCGGGGCAGACTCACCTCACACACCCCCTGCTCCCCATGGTGGGGACACCTGTGAGAGAGAAGTGGTCAACAATGGGAGAACAGGATGTGGGTCATAGCAGTGATACCTCTCCCAGGGTAGGAGGCAGTGAGAGCTGAGCTCACCAGAGCCCTGCCCATGTCTTCATACCTGGTGATCTGAGGTGTCCAGTTTGCTTGGCTGTCCAATTGCCTCTTGACTGGCCAGTCTTGGGCTTGGGCCCTTCCCTCCTGCCCCTCGCAGTGGCTCTGGAGAGGCTCTAGGGTTCCCCTCAAGTGCACAAGAGACTAGGCTGCCATCTCTGAGTCCTCCGTTCTGCACTGGGGGACTGGCGAGGGCTGGGGGCTGTGGCCTCTCAGGGGGCACACTCTCAATGGTAGATATCCCTGCCCTGGGCTGCCCTCCCCCAGACCCCTGACTACCCCCTGTGTCCTGCCCTCCACCAGACCCCCAGCTCCTGTCCGTGGGAGAGCCATCACGATGCTCATGTAGCCCATAGCGCTTCTCAATGTGTGTCACCCGGAACCTGAGAAGGGAGGGAACATTGGGGCTTAGGACAACTCAGAGACTGGTAGGCTTCCCTCCAACCAGGGACATCCTGGGTTTCCTGGCCACTTCCCTCTGGGCTACGGTGGGGGAAACCTCCCCAGATTGTGGAGCACATTATACAGCCTGACTTCTGCTGTAGCTCACAGAACAGAGCTGGGGCCCACCTTTGGAGTCAGGGGCCTGATAAGTGGGGATCCCACCTCAAACTCCCTTTCTCTGGGGCTTTCTATCCCCACCTGCCTACAGAGAACACGGTAGTCTCTCCAGGCCGAGGGCGGCTCTTTCCTTCCTTGGAGCGTCCCTGACGGACAAGTGGGGGCCTCTTGTTGCGGCTGCAGTGGATGCAAGGGGCTGCAGAGCCCAGATGCACTGTGTGATGATGGGAAGGGGCTCCATCCTGCAGGCTGGAGGTAGCATCCACGCTGGACAATAGGGAAGAAGGGGGCAGGAGTGACATTACCATTTCCTTTCCATTTGCTGTTGTTCTTTCAACTTCTTAAACCCCTAGATGCCTCACTTTCCTCAGGTCCTGGCACTCTTGTATTTATTGAATAAACATGATATTAAGGTTTTAGCGGTCATGTGTTTTTCTTCCCAGGGTTGTTTGCTAAAAAGACGGCAATGTTTAACCCAAATGGCACAAGGGATAAATGTTAGGCTTGATGATATCCAGATGAGAAGTTTGGCTTAAAGGACTCAGATTTGTACAAAACTTCTGTTTTCCTATATAGGTTAGCCAGCTTTGCCTTCCCCCCAGCCCCAGACATGCGAGGAGATTGGGGAAGGATTGTGCTGGAGGAGAGGGTACTCTCCAAGGCAAGCTAAGTCATGCTGGCCCTTATTTCCAGCTCACCTGGACAGCTGCACTGTCCCTTCTCCTTCACTGTCCCCCAGCATCTCCTTCAAGGCCTCAGCATTGGCTGAGGGGAGAAGGAAAAGAGGGAGTCAGTGGAGGTGGAGGTCAGGGCAAGAGAAAGTTGAGTGGGGGTTGGAGAGAGTAAAGGGCCAGCCTACACCCACCTTCATTTTGGATGATGCAGCGAACAATTCTCTCTACTGTGTCTTCATTCATGTCATCGTCCTCAGCTGAAGGATGAGAGGTTGACAGGGAAGCAGGAAATGAGTCAGCTTTGGATGGCTATTACCTGGTGGCTTCTGTGGCTTACTGCTCAAGACATGTCCCTTTGTCTATTTGTCGTCATGCTGGATGTTAGCATTTCAGGGGCCAGGACAGAAGAGATGGGAAAGTCAGTGGGAGCCCAAGACTACCAACAGTGGACACTTCCCACCCATGCTGCCTTTTCTAGCATTGTTTTCAGGGTGGTGTCATCCCACTTGCTGACTCAAGAAAGGACCATTAAACCTCTTGAAGGCTTGGTTGGGATTTGGCCTGGGTCTGTTGGCTAGGAAGGCAAAAAGAGGTGTGGGGTGAAGGGTATGGGAGAAAGGTGACTGAGCCAGATTCTAGGCTCCTCACTCACGGGGCTGGAGCTGGGCATCGTCAGGCTCCGAGCCCCTCGACGTGCGGCAGCGGTAGCCCTTCTTCTTGAGCACGTGGCAGATCATGAAGCCTACGAGGCCCATGAGGAAGAAGACCAGCACAAGCAGGAAGAGCATGTATAGCCCATGTTGGGGCGGCTCCAGGTCAGGCTGTGGTTCCGACATGAGGCCCTGGGGGACGAGCGCGGGCCAGGGCGCCTCCTGGGGTTAGGGGGCTGCAGCTAGGGACTGGGGGAGGGATAGGAATTCGGTCCTCAGGACCTGAAACCGAGGAGCCTCTGAGGTCCGGCCCCACTCCCCCTACCCAACCAAGGAGCTGTCCGTGCCAGGGGTGCTGGTCCGGGGCAGGGGTGCCAGACGGCGGCTGCGCAAGCCCGCTTCCACGACCCTGATCCTGCTTCCCCGACGCCCAGAGCGTTCCCCTTTCCAGCTTGTCCTGCGCTTCCGTCCCTCCCAAGGACACTGCAGAGCGAGACGGGACGGAATTCTCAGGCGGCCGGTGCAAGAATCGCGCCTGAGTCAGCGTCCGCACCTCCTCCGCGCGGGCCTGAGCCAGGCCTCGGCAGCCCCCTCCCCTGCCTGTATTCCGCACGACGCCACCCTATTCCCTTCCTCCCATCCTCACCACCTGGCCCACTCGGTACCGGTGGTTTGGTTTTGGCTCCGGCTCCGGCTCGGGTTCCGGCTCCAGGGACGTCCTAGTCCGGCTCAGGGCCCCCGACGCCCTCCCGGCGCTCATCCCTTGCTTCCTCCCCCTCCCCCCTTCGCCACCTCACCGGCTCCGGGCTCCGGCTGCAGATACCGGTGCCGCGGCAGGCGGGGGGAGGGAAGGATGAAGAGGGATGCGGGCTGGTTGCGAGCGGCGGCTGGCTCGGGACAACTCCGGCTGTGGGAAGGGGATGGAGATGGGGGTGGGGGGCGCCGCCGCAGCTGCCCTGGGTTCCCAAATGCCTCCGCCAGTCGCCAGCCGCCAACCCGGGACCAGGGGGCGGAGCGCAGGTGTGCGAGGCGGAGAGCGAGAGGCTTGCGCGCTTGTGAGCGCAAGTGTGGTGCGCGCGTGACTGCGCCGTCCCCCGCCGCCCCCCTTCCGCCCCCCCGGGGGAGTGTGCGGCGCCGAGTCTGGGTCCGGGTGGGGAGGACAGGCAGTCAGAAGAAAGCGCGCTCCACTGGTCTATCCCGCATGTTTGGCGCGGCTCCTGCCCTCAGATGCCTCGGTCGGGGGGGTAGCCGGGAATCTTCCCCGCGGGCAGGGGAAGTTGGCTTTCCGCACCCGAGAGGGACGGCGTGGCCGGTTCTCCGATGGGGCAGGTGGATGGACGAGACGGCTCAGATTCCTGAGGATTTGACCCCCGCCGGAAGGAAATGACTCTAGCATCCTAGGACCGAAGCCCCCGGTCCTCCGTGGAGCCCAGACGCTCACGCTCCGGAACTTGGAAGGGCGAAGCCGAGCGAGGGGCGGAACTCCGCAGGGGGCGTAGCCTGGGAGGCGGGGCCTCACCTTCCCGGTTCCGCAGAGGCAAGCTGCGTGCTTACGCAGCACGTAGGAGCGGGGGTGGGGCAGGCGGCCGGGCGGGTGGTGGTGGAGGCGCGGGGCCTGGTCCCGCCGGCACCATGGCCAAGACTGTGGCCTATTTCTACGACCCCGATGTGGGCAACTTCCACTACGGTGAGGAAAGGAGGTTGTAGGTGAGGGGTTTCGGGACGCGGAGGTTTCGAGGCGGGGGCTACAACTCCAACGACGGGAACTGACGAACTCTCTTCTCCCACCCCAGGGGCAGGGCACCCTATGAAGCCCCATCGCTTGGCATTGACCCACAGTCTGGTCCTGCACTACGGTCTCTATAAGAAAATGATCGTGAGTCTCGCCGTCGCTGCAGGGTATTAAGGGTGCGGGCGAGTTGTGCGGCCCTACGATATAGGTGGGCTGCCCTGAATGCACCAAGTGCGACCCACCCTTGGGGTGGGGGTTGGGGGTTGGGGAGGCTGGATATAAGGAGCCTAGAGCACCCGCCATATGCCCAGTGTTGTGGGTGGATCCACCGCCTTAAAGGGAGTTACTTTTTCAAACCTTAGGTTGGCCACTTTTGACCTCAGGTGGACCAACCTCTGGCCTGTGGTTAGGGTGGAATGGGGCTGGTTTGAAGACAGAGGTGTTTTTCTCCCTAGCGTCTTAGGATGTGGGCAGTGCTGTGGCTTCAGGAGAGAGGGGCTGGGTTACTTTATCTGGATGTGACGTGTTCCCACCGCAATTCTCACCCCTTCTCTGCCACCTCTCTCCACCTCCAAGGAGCTATAGCTCCAGGAGGGACTGCAGCCCTGTGTGCAAATGTGTGTATGGAAGAGAGCAGATGTTCTGGGAATTTCTTTGTCAACTTATCATACCCTCACAGGGTTATATTTAATTGCTACCCAGTCCTCCATCTCCCACATATGCACATGGGGACAGGCAATCCCCATTTATAGGAATTTATAGTTGTGATAGGCAATTATAACAGTTAAGCTCAGCCCTCATGCGTCACAAGGGGAATTAGTCAATAGTATGAATGAGTGTTGTCTACTGTTTGTGCTGAGGCACGGTCTAGCGAATTAATTATAGAAAAGACCAAGGTGATATAGTGCATGAATCTCTGAATCCCTTGAAATTGTTTGTTGATATGTTCCTGTGTATATATTATCCCGGGAGAGAAGCTTTTTGTTCTTGCCCAATTTCTAAAGAAGTATGTGAACCCCTCAAAAGGTAATAAATTTCTGGCTTCACACCTTGGCACCCTGGGGTTTTAATTAGTAGGTTGTCATATAACCCATATTATTTAACTCTAAAATTAAGAATTCAGAGAAGAGAGAGGATGGAATCAGAGCCAGGGGGAGGAGATGAGTATGGGGAAAAAAAAAATAGGAGATCCAAGGAACAGGGCAGGTGGATAAGGGCTCAAGGTTGAGAGGGTGGGAAAGGTTGGGCTGGAAGTAGGAAGGAGAAGGCAAGCCCATTCGTTTTTTGGATGCTTGATCGTAGTACCCCACCTGGCTAATCAGAGCCTCTCTTCTTCACTGACCTTTGCTTCATAGAATAACAAGAATTGGAGGGGTGAGGGGACTGCTGATGTGTGGTTTTTGGATAGTCCACAGGGCTGGGTTCAGTATGGGGAATCTCAGCCCGATGAATAGGACTGACTTTGCCTGGGTTCACCTTATGTTTCCATCCCGAGGTCTTCAAGCCATACCAGGCCTCCCAGCATGACATGTGCCGCTTTCATTCTGAGGACTACATCGACTTCTTGCAGAGAGTCAGCCCCACCAATATGCAAGGCTTCACCAAGAGCCTTAATGCCTTCAACGTGGGCGATGACTGGTGAGGGGAGAACTGGGATTTTTTAATGCCAGCATTTCAAGGAGAACACTTGAGTGAGGTCTTGTGACAGCAGTGGGAACATATGAATGGGGTCCTGTTTGTCAGTGAATCATCATTTTACTCATTTGGTTATTCAGCAAATGTTAGTCATTTGCTCTAGGCCAGGCCCAGTGCTAAGTGCTGGCAATGCAATGATACACAACAACAAAATTTTAATATTACAGTTGTGCTAAGTCCTGTGAAGGAGAGGTATCTGGCAGACTGTGAGAGTGTATACATGGGGGGGAATTACCCATCTTGGGAGTGGACTGGTCAGTAGAGGCTTCCTAGAGGAAGTAATGGAGATTAAGGTAAGATCTGAAGAAAGAGCAGGGTTAATTAGATGAAATGTGGTTGGGAGGATAGGAGGTGAGGTCAGGAATGTTGTGGGTATTAGGGACAACATGTGCTGAGGGTCTTTGAGAGGTTGGTGTGTCACTCGTTTGAGGAACAGAAAAAAGGTCATTCACTGAATGAAAATGAAAAGAAAAATTATCTGAATTGTGGCTAAAGAGATGGGCAGGGCCTGTAAAAAGTAAATAACCCTATTATGAATTAGGGCTCTTATCCCTAGAGTAGAGGGAAATTATCAAAGTGCTCTCAAAGCAAGAGAGTGATTTACATTGCGAGAGGTTTATACCGAGCTTTATCATACAAAGAAGGGTCAGAGTTAGGCCCTGTGAGGAAGGGAACAGATAACAAAGATAAGCGGTTATCCTGGCTTACATTCTCATGTATATTCATGAAGATGTAGTGATCATAACTGCTACCATTTATTTAATTTATTTTTAGCGTTTGTATTAGGAAACTTTCAAATATTTCTGAAAGAATAGCATAGTGAACTCCCATATATCCATCACCACCTGTAGCCCTTATGAGCCAATGGATAGTCTTACTTCATGTGCATCCCAGATTATTTTATTTTAGTTATTATTATTATTTTTTTTTTTTGGTTTGTTTTAGGAGAGAGAGTGTACAGGGATGGGGGCGGGGGAGGCAGAGGAAGAGGGACAGAGAGAATCTTAAGCAGGTTTCATGCCCAGTGCAGAGCCCTATGGGACATGGGTAGATGTGGGGCTTGATGCCAGGCTCGATCTCACAACCCTGAGATCATGACCTGAGCCAAAATCAAGAGTCAGGTGCTTAACCAACTGAGCCACCTAGATGTCCCTGCATCTCAGATTATTTTATTTTATTTTTTAAATATTTTATTTATTTATTCATGAGAGACACAGAGAGAGGCAGAGACATAGGCAGAAGGAGAAGCAGGCTCCATGCAGGTAACCCGATGTGTGACCTAATCCCAGGACTCCAGGATCACGCTCTGAGCCAAAGGCAGCTGCTCAACTGCTGAGCCACTCAGGTGTCCCCATCCCAGATTATTTTATTTTATTTTATTTTAGTTTAGTTTATTTATTTTATTTTATTTATTTTTTAAAGATTTTATTTATTCATGACAGACAGAGAGAGGCAGAGACACAGGCAGAGGGAGAAGCAGGCTCCATGCAGGGAGCCCAACGTGGGACTTGATTCCCCCGGGTCTCCAGGATCACGCCCTGGGCCGAAGGCAGTGCTAAACCACTGGGCCACCAGGGCTGCCCCCGGATTATTTTAAAGCAAATCTCAACTGATAAATTTTTTTAACTGGTGTCTATAAATGATACTCTTAAAAATACACATGCACACTGTCATTATCACACCTAAAAAATTAACAGTAATTCTTTAATATCATCATATAAATGCAATCAGTATTCAGATTTCTCCAACTGCCTCCTAATTTTTTCTTTTTTTCAGTTGATGCATTTAGGGTCTACACCAAGTCCATGCATTGTATTTGGTTGATAAGTCTCTTAAGACTTTTAATCTATAATGTTTCCTTCTCTACCTTGAATTTCTTTCTTTTCTTTTCTTTTCTTTTCTTTTCTTTTCTTTTCTTTTCTTTTCTTTTCTTTTTTTTTTTTAGATTTTGTTGATTTATTTGAGAGACAGAGTGAGTGAGTGAGTGAGAGAGAGAGAGCACAAGCACAAGTGGGAGTAGGGCAGAGAGAGAGGGAGGTACTGACTCTTTGCTGAGCAGGGAGCCCAGTGTGGGGCTCAATCCCAGGACCCTGGGATCATGACCTAAGCTGAAGGTGGATGGTTAACTGACTGAGCCACCCCGGTGGCTACCTTGAAGTTATTTCTTGAAGAAACCAGGCTATTGGTTCTGTAGAGTTTCCTACAACAGTTACTTTTTATTGAGTGCATACTCTGCTGTGCTGAGGTTTGCTGGTATCCACTTCATTCTCACACCTGTGAGAGCTGTAATAATCCTTTGCCTTAATTTAGGCATAAAGAAACCAAAATTTGAGGAGATTTAGGTAACTAACCTGAGTTAAAAAACTGATCAGTGGAAGTGGCAGGATTCAGATCCAGAGCCCTGGTTTTTAAACACTACACTTTTCCTGAAAGATGCTACTGATGGAAGCACTCTGACCTGCAAGGTAGAAGCCAGCTTCTTAGGCTAGCATTAAGTGCCTTCCCCAGCTTATTCCCACACCTCTGCTTGCACAGGATGCCTTCCTGGAATGCGCTTTGTTCCTCATTCAACCTCTCTAAGGCCTTCCTGGCCTTCATCCTATCTTGAAGCTTCACACCACTAAACCTTTCTTGACCACACCAGGCGCAGAGGTCTGCCCTGTACACACTGCTGTAGTCATCTGGTGTTTAGTCGTATGTTATCTTGGGAAATTTCTTGTTTTTTTGTTATTGCTGCTACTATTGTTTCTGAGCTCACTTTACAGGTATGGGAATGCAGAATCAGCCCTCAGGACCCAACTGGGGCTCTGTAACTATTCCCTGTGTAGTTAGGGAATACTACACTGGGCCCTTTGCACTATACTAGTTATGCTATCAAACTTAAGCTATAGTCATGCTTATCATTCTCATTTCAGATGACAATCAGGGATTTTCCCTTTTAATTAATTTCTGATTGTTTTCTAATTAATCTAATATAAAAAGCCCAAATATCCTGCAAGGCTTTTAATGGGGGGAAAAAAGCAGTCCCAGATCTGTG